TATATATATATGGTAGGTACTGTGACATACTTACTTTTACAGACCATGAGATTATTCACAACCCAAACTCCATCATTGCAAGTCACCACGTTCGCGCCGCCGTTTGAAGTGAACCCATTTCTGCATGTGTAGGTACATGCCTCCAGATGTTCGTAAGGCCATCCACAGCCATCACTGTCCGCATTGAGTGGCATTGGTGGTAGATTATCACAACGCTTTCCCGCTGATAGAAAAAAACACAAAATACAATTTTTCCAGACTCATATTAGACAAAATTAGTTCACCACCACCAGAGACTGAATAAGGTGTTATGCGCACGTTACATAATGTTCACTCCGCGTGAGCAGGTTTTGGCATAAGGCTGGGGGAAATATGAGACTGATCCCGATTTCTATCTAGCATTCTAAGAATTCTCGACGAAGATTTGCTTTCACAAAAGCATGTCACAGTTGATGTATTTCTAATTTAGATAACATATTGCAGTGTTATCTGACCCAGTACTATTAAACATTCATCAAGCCAACCAAAAATGCCTTCGCTAGAATTAAAATCTAAAGCATTTTTCACAGCACAATCAGCTGGTATGTTTCTGTATCTACAAAAACGAAAACGGTAACCGTCGGAAATAGTAGGCACTTGAAATACATACCTCTACATCGCAGGCGGCCCGGAGGTCCCCAATCCCAGCCCGGGATACACGTAACAAAGAGGGAGCCCCCGACAAAAATTGCCTTGGGTTCGCAACCATAGTTACATACGGTCCCAACTGGGTATGGGGGTGCCGGTACCGGTGGCGGTGGAATACAGTTTAATAGGTCGGTGCGGGGTGGACTAGGTGGGTCATTATGACAATTGTTGTTTATTGTCCCTCCAGCTGATGAAAAACAACATTCGAAAGACTGATCAATTTTAGACTCATTCTAAAAAGAAAAGAGCAAGTCTTCGTTACCAATCGACCACCGAAACATGATTTATTTGCTCTACCATTTAATAAGCCCCTCCCCTCTCTTCTTAATCAAACCCCATTTTCTTAACGTAACTGCAACCGTGAATGTAGATACGTACTACAGACTACGGGTCGTCCCCAATCCAAATGCCATTATGACAGGTCTTCACGTTGCTGCCGCCGACTTGAATGTGAAATTGATGTATAAAATCTCCTGGACCGAAAAGATTCCACATGAATGGAATCATAAAGACAGACAGTAAACGGTACAGGCATAGTGACAAAACGCACCTTCGCAGACCAGGGGGGTTCCGGTCCAGGTTCCATCATAACATCGCAGGACCTGGTCGCCACTGACCTGAGTGCAGCTCGGTTGGCATTGGTAGCTACATCTCTCCTTATGTTTGTAAGGGGAATTACAGCCCTGACGGGTGGTGCAGGGTGGGCTCGGTGCTGGACCGCAGTTCTGTCCCACTGATTACGAAACAACAAAAGCGTGGAGTAGTGATAGTCTATCAACTACGAAAGCGCGTAGTTAGCATAACATTTAAGTTTTTTTCCACAATACATAGCGACTCCGTTTCTGCTACTACACAAATGCTGTTTTTGTAGTAGCAGATCTAGTCTCTAAAAGCAAAATGTAGTTATGGCATCCCCTGCATAATTGTTATCAGATGACTATATAAATGGCATACATACTTCTACAGATCAGGTGGCTCCCAGTCCAGGCTCCATTTCGGCAGGTTCTCTCGGCATCACCGCCCACTGGGACGTAGTTCTTTTTGCACCTGTAGGTACATGTCTCGCCATGGTTGTAGGGTTGCTTACAGCCACTCCGAACGGTGCGCTTTGGGTTTGGTGCTTTATTACACCCTGGGAGCCATGATAGAGAACAACATTTGAAATACACGTATTTTCTCATACTCATTCTTTCTCGGAATTCAACAAGAAAACAATTATTTTGTGACCAGTCATACTCGTGCCCAATTCCTTATTTCGAAACCAGATTTGTCTGGAAAACGTCTTATTTTATCAAGTTAGACATTTTACACAAAAGTTCATTAATGTTTTGACCTGGGGTTGAAAAAGGCACTGCGCATGATACATCTAACAGATATAATACCACCCTAATAATAGGCACTTCGATTAGAGTACTGGAAGCGGGTTAAAGAAACCGATACAGGGCCAATATACAGTTCAGTTCATCCTCAGTGAGGTGACAGCAGTTCAAAGTAAAAAAACACATAATAAGGCCCCAAAGTCCGACCCACATAGTCTGCTATCTAAGGAGGCTATAATGGTAACACAATACAACCAGTTTTCTGTCCTTACGTTTCTTACGCTTAGCTGCACCCAAGTCCAGAAGAATGGCTGATACCATAAGGACTAGCAACACACCGTACAGAAACCTGAAAGTAGAAAAGAGTAGAAATAAATGCATTTCTTGTTCTAATTGAGTGTACGCAAATACTCAATGTCGTGTACATGGATTATAACATAGACCATGTCGCCAATACACGCAGGTCAACGTTGGTCTCCCAGATAGAAGTAAGTAATTGAGAAGAATTACAAAATGGTGTTGTCCCGTAATGGTCACATAATGTACATGCAGTACTGTTCATCGAACTTGGTAAATGAAATTTGATCAAAAGATGAACTGATAACTGTGTCTCAATGACAAGCGACCTGCATGTCGATTCAAGCTTCTCATGAATACTATAGTAAAGAATGGTTCAAGCTTATTGTAGTAGTCAACAGAGTTCAAGGTCACAGAGCCGACAAAGTGGCTACCCATTTAGACTGTAGCACGAACCGTGTCACAAAGAACCCAATGTTTCAACATTTCACGTAGACAACAGAGACAGCTTCAAAACTTTGTATAGTACTCAATACTTATTTTGTGTAATTTGCCAATGTTATGATGGGTGAATCATATCCAGGGTATGCCTCCAATTAAAGTGGCATCTTTTCACAAACCACTGCCACCTGTATGTTTGAAATACTTTGAAAACTACCGACCTCAGCTCTTTTGCAAACACAAAAATACTGGCCCAGTATTTTTGTGTTTGCAAAAGAGCTGTGGTCGGTAGTTTTCAAAGTATGCCTAAACATAGTAGGCATAAACATCTCCACAGGAAAACGATTCAGAGTTCAAAAAGCAAACGTGGTCTTTCTGACAAGATCGCACATTTGTACACTGTGACGCGCGAGATTCAAGCTTATAATTATGACGTGTTTGATAATTGACCAATTTTAAAAGGGGCGCGTTAGGTAGATAGGTCAGTGTGCTTCGTGCCGAGTGAAACATGAGTCTATT